AGCCCAAACAGCTAAATGTGCCCTGTATGTGAGGGGCTTGATCTGATTTTAATTTGTTACTGGCACTTGTTGTTTTGTTCCGCATGAGGGGAATAAAGCACCCACAATATGGCTGCATTTTTTTACGATTGATTGGTCTTTTCATAGTTGGAGCATTTGTATTTGTTTTTTCATTTTGCCTGTGATTTGGGTCGATATGATTTAATGCATTGGTTGCAGGTTTTCAAAAATTAGTCATATGAAACTAATATGAAGCTCCCATTAGTATTGATCATTACCCTGTTGGGCAAGGCCAAAAAAAAAAAGCACGTTGAGATTGACGAGAAGAAGGTAGCTTTTGTGTTCACTAATAAGCAGCTGGCAGACAAATGCCATAGGACTGCAATGGCTAGATTTTGAGACTTCAGCTAGCAAGCTGTGTATGGCATCTTTGGACTAGCTTGAGAGTTGAGGGAGAGTGCGGCAAGTCTTAAGTTGGCGGTGACTTTAGATGAGGCTAACTATATTGTTATCCAATATTATATTTAATGAAGTTTGCATGTGACTACAGATAAGGATAACTATTTGGTTATCCTAGATTAGATCACATTAATTTTTTTCAATTTAAACTTAGTATGATGACGACTAGAACTCAATGTGTTAATTGAAGCCTGTAAACAGGATTGTTGTTCCATGAAAATTATTTAGATTGAATGACGATTAGCTTTACTCTGTTATTTCAATTTCCAGCCAAAATCACCAGATATGGCTTAACTAATTGGTTATCCGAGATTAGATTCAATTATGTTTATTGTGACTACAGATAATGATAATTATTTGGTTATCATAGATTGGATCACCATTCTCTTTTTCAGTTTAAACTTAGATACTTAAGTTAACTAGAACTCAATGTGTTTGGGGTTCATAAGCCTGTAAATAGGGTTGTTGTACCATAAATATTATGTAGATTGAATGACAAATTGCTTAATTCCATTATTTCAATTTCCTGCAAAATTCACCAGATATAATCTAAGGAAGATGACACGTAAATTTCTGTTTCCATTAGTAGAGGACAAAATAGAGCTGAAGCTTTGGCTGTGTCTATGTGTTTTGTATTGGGCCATTCTGTGCACCATGAAAGATATTTTCTTGAACTGGAGATAGTGCAGACAAAAGCATGGAGGTGATATATAGGTTCTGGCTCTTGTGTGCACTCTATAGAGATAGTATTCTGAAATCTGAAGGAAATGAGACGGAAATTCTTGTAGTTGAAATGATTCTATGAATACTCTCTATAGTACTGATATAGTCAATGTAAGATTTCAGAATTGTTTCCTCATAACAGAAATACTGGCACAAATCTGAATAAGAATAAAATTTACAGATTCCTATGTCTATTATATGTAATTCAAAAGATATAAATGAGGCTGAAATGATATTTGACTTTCTTTAGTGGAAAAATTTTAAGGATGAGAAAATTCAGGAAATTGGCAGACAAATAACTTCTTTCTTTGTTGGTTTATCTATTTCTGGATCTGGAATTGATTTTAGCTATTTCTTACAGCAAGTGTAGAGAGAATATTTCCAACGTGAAAATTGTAAAGAATCAATGAAGTCATTGAATGGGAGGTTGGTCGAAAAATTGCTTGGTTATTTTTATCGATACTATGCTCCAGTAGCTTTTAATTTGTCAAAACTTGAGAAAGTGGGAGGGGTAGTTCTACTTTTCTTCTTCATCAATGGAGGATGTTATATCGGTCATTAAATTCTGTAAATTAGGAAGCAGAAGCTCGATTTAGAAGTGGTTAAATGAGTTCTTCTAAACCAAACAATGCCTTAACTTTTAGAATATATTTTTTCTCCTATTTTAGTTTGCTCACCTTGTATTTTTAATTGGAAGAAAGAATATTGTGTTTGCATCAGACATAAAACTTACTTTTGTCTATTATATTTAGGTCTTGGTGGCTATTCAAGCAGCTTTGACTGTAATTGGTAATGCAACAATGTGCATTGCTGCATTTCGTATCTACACAATTTCACAAGAACGCTCCAAAAACTTGTGATCGCAGTAATCTGCATTTGTGGATTCAGTTGACCTTCGAAGCTTTGTCCCAGTGGTAATCCTCCCTTTGCAGTAATCCTGCTCGTATTCGGAATTCAGCTAATCTGATCAGTGATGTTTCTTGATCTTTTGCAGGAATAAGTGAATGCGTCTGAAATGTTGTCCAAAATCTTGTTATACTAGTTATTATACTGTGGAGGCACAATGAGATTTCCGTTCAAAGAGAACAATAATCGAAGTTGTTTTCTCCTTTTGAAATTTGGTTGAAAAATTCTCGACAGCCAAGTGCCAGAAAAGTTTAAGCTGTACCTACACGCTAAAAAATTCTACCTCTATGATGGCCGGTGAGTGAGTCTATCAAGTGGTTAGACTAAGGCTCTCTAGTTACTATATTCTATTAAGTTTTTGAACACTTTTAATTATTCATTGGATCACAACTTATTAAGACGTCGTTACTTGTATTCTTGATTATTGCGTCTTAATTAGACTTTATGACTTGTATTCTTAATTATTACATGTTTGAACAGACAATATGCTGTGTTATAGTGGGTATGTTTAGTCCTCTCTGCACATTTTATGTCAATTATCATCGACTATTATTATTTGTTTGACAAATGCTCTACATGTATGTGATCCAAATCTATCTATTGGAAGTGCTTGAGCTTTCCAAATATGATGTGAACTTTGTGATCCACATTTCTTATTAAATCTAATGATGGGGTTTTTTGACACATGTTGTGTAGGGAATAGATACAAAGAAATACATACGGAACATGAGTATCTGTCTTTTCGGTGAGCATGTTGGTAAAGTAGATTAGACGACGCTCAACAGTATGAAATACATGAAAAGTTTGAAAGGATAAGTAACATTAGGTCAATGCATTGGGCAGAAGTAGTATCTTTTATTGGTTAACTTTATTTTTTATTCCATGATACATGAAGCCATAAATTTGACCTTGTACATTGCCTTTTCGGGGACTAGTGTTGGATAGTTATTGAAATACATTAAACACTCAGTTTATACTAAATATCTTAATAGAAGTCCTTGGTTTTGTGGTTGACTTACTACTTTCTCTGTCTTTATTTTTTTGTTAAAAAGAAATAGCTTGTAATATCTTGAGTTCATAGGGTGTTTTTGTGCAATAAATGATTGGAACTCATTTTGCAAGAAGATAGAAAGATTTTTCTTTTTCTTTTTTATTATGGAAAGCTATAGGACTTTATGACTTTAGACATGTTTCGTATAGAGCATTATATACTAAAATAAAAAGAGACATAAATTTTGTTGATTATGTTGTTTAGTCTTTTATTCAATATTGTGTGTCAAACATGTACTTTATTGATTAATTAATGTTGTGAAGTGATGCCGAACTTCAAAGGTATGGAGAGAATGAAAAAATAATTGAAAACTTGTGAAAAGAAATGTGTATTACTCACAAGTTCTTGAATTTATAATCTATTCCACATGGGCGTATATTTAGTTTGTAAATTTGAAAATGCATGGAGAAACTTTTCTATCTTTAGGGAGAGATTAGCTTGGGGTTATAAAGAATTTATTAGTCTCTTGAATTTTTTTCCTAAAATATTACGTTTTTATAAAAGGCATAGTATCCATCCTTGGGATAAGATATTTTACTGAACTGTTGGCTTTCATCTTGAAATTATTAAGGGAATTTACATAATATCATGTGTTTAAAGATCCATGTTCAAAAATGAGGGATGAAGTTTGAATATTCATAAATCGGGTCATTATTTAATATCAATAATAGTATTACAAAATCAATTAATCATCTCTCTCTTTCCATTTATTTTCTTCCCCGGCCATTACACACTCTCTCTCTTCCCGTTATTTTCTTCTTTCACCTGCCATTATGTTTTCTTCTTCATCAGTGCGGATACAAATGCTGCTGCCAGATCATTGCCCAAATCGTCGCTCTATTTTCTTCCAATCGTCGCGATGGGTAGTGCTCATCTTCATGTACAGTGGCGAAGCATAGTGGCTCTCTATTCGCCCTTGCACGTGGTGCTTAGAGCGCCACCCAACATGAATCTAAGTCGACATTGGCAAGGTGAACGAGATCGAGTCAACATCTAAACAAGTGCCATCTAGATGGCGAGGTCAACATGAGGTTGCTGGTGATTTCGATCCCAAAATAATTACAAAAAGAAGTTTATAGGTGGCTTGTGTGGCCAATGGTTGCTGTGGTGATTTTTGTGCGATTGTTGTGATGTGTGGTGGTCTATGTGGTTGTTGTGATCGTGGTTTGTGGTGGGTGTGGGTGTGGGTGTGGTGGTGGTTTTAGAATTATCAGCTGGCAACTGTGAAGGTATGGAGGTGGTGAAGTGGTGGCGTTGTTGGTGATGATGGTAAGTTGATGTTAGTGTGGTGGTCCTCTTGGTGATGGCAACGATGACAGTAGTGGAGTGAGAAGGAAGAGTGTGATCATTGTTTGGATGTTGTGACCTAAAAGAATGTGTGAATGTGACTTTTGGGGGTTCGACTGCAACACAACCACTGCGCTTTTGTGCATTCTGCGCTTTTGTTCGTTCAATGCTTTTGGGGATTTTTTGGGTTTTGGAGTTGGTGGGTGAAGGTGGTGGTGATCTGAATGGATTTTTTTTTTTTTTTTTTTTTTTTTTTTTTTTGGTGTTGTTGGTGAGGTGGTGGTTTGGCTGTGGAGGTGGCAACTGCGATGGTGGTGGTGTAGTGGATTGATTTGCATTTTGGGGGGTTTTTTGAGTTTTTGGATATGATCGATCTGTATTTTGAGGGTTTTTTTGGGTTTTTGGATTTGATGGCGATGGTGGACTAGCGATGATTTTTGTTGGAGGTACAGATGGAGGTGTTGACAATGGTGGTGGCAAATGGTGATGGTGGTGGTGTTGTGGTGCTAGCGAGGGTGGTCGTAAGTGGCGGTGGCGGTGAACTAGTTATTTAGTTATATGTGACCAATTATTAAATTGTGACCTTAAGAACTGATAACATGTGATTGAAATATAATTTGTGACCAACTATTTAGGTGTATGTGACAAACTATTTCATTGATTTGTGGATAAATATTAGGTGTTTGGGATTAAAAAATAATTTGTGATTCAATAGACTGTGACTTATGTGACTCATAGATAAAATGTGACCTGTAATTTGAATGATCTGTGATCTCGAAATAATATGTGACCTACAAAATTTTTGATTTGTAACCACGAAATAATTTGTGACCAATTAATTTGACGATATGTGATCAATAAGTAAATTTGTGACCATTAATTATGTAATTGTGGCTTTATTATTTTTATTTAATAAACATTTTTAATTAATTAAATACATACCTGATTTTTGAATTTTCAAACTATTTACCTGATATTTGAATTGAGGTAAACATAACATCTGAAATGATTTTTTTTCCCCATTTATTAATGCACGGTCCAACTTTCAAGGGCTAGTCAAAATTGAACATGCATTAAATATTGTTCTGAAATAATTTATAAGTAATGTAAAAGTAATATTTGATATCAATTTATTGAGAGAATTTGATGAGTTCAAATGAACTAAAGAAAATAAAATTTATGATAAAAATTTAAAAGAAGAAAATTATACTCTCAGAATTCAATTTTTATTATTCAAGTTTTTTATAATGATGAAATACTACAAATGAGCAACATTTTTATATTATATTTCGTATATAAAAATTAATCGCTAAATACATGAACAGAAATAAATTTATCTATAATAGTTATAGATTCAATAAAGTCAAAATTCACTGAGTTTAAGTTAATGTAAATGTTAATTAGTTGAAAATTAAAAACATGAAATTCATACATGATAAGGATTTTGTAGTATTTATTACATATTAAAAAAATGAAAAATAGAGTACTATTGAAATAATTGAATTGTAGTAGGATTAAAAACGTTCAAAAAATGATTTTCACTTATATTTAATATATTATAGATTATTTAACACAAAAATAATAAGTTTTTTTATTAATGCTTGTCCCAATCTAAAATTTCTTGCACGCTTGGTAGAGTGGATTCGTTAGAAGCACACTAAGACAATGTTAATTTATATAATTATTATATATAGATTTATTACAATCTTGATTTCGAGTTGGATAAGCACTAAGAAAACTATTTAGTTTATTTTGTAAGGAACAAAAATATGAAGTAAATATAAGCTTTAAAAATGACTAGTATGTAAACAATACGTTCAATGATTATTTTCTAGGAGGTAAGACTTTTCATCCCCTTTAAAATTCTTCATGTTTTCTTCTCGAGTTTATTAAGATGGTACGCTCCAGGGCATATCTCCCGGTGGCAAAAGGGAGGACGAATAGGGTTCAGCGCGGCAAGTGTACAGAGTTCGATTCCCCGCAAGGTGGAATTGGCTTTGTTGCAAGCGGGAATTACCATATGGGTTAACGGCCTTGGCCTATCCATGTGCTCTCCACCCTGATTCCTGTGAGGCACATCCTGCCATTTACCTCCTCCACGATGGCCCAGGACAGGGTCGGTGGGGGCCCTTAAGGTTGGGGTTCAACTTTTTTTTTTTTTTTTTTATTAAGATGGTACTGATTCAGTGTGAAAAAAAAAAAAAAAGAGTAAATTTACTTTAATCTTATTTTTAAGATTCTTAGCTATTTATATTCCAAAATTTCTATCATCTAAGAAAATGCCGAAATTAAAAATATATATAATAAATAAAGAAGAAAGGCCAACAATAATCTTACCTATTAATTCTTGTACATACCCGATTGAGAATTATAGTTACACAAATTTGCCAGATATGTGAGTACCTCTTGCTTAATCTAACACAAGAAGAGAAGTCAAAAGAGAAACAGATGGAGCAGTACTATGAGAAGAAAATAATTAATTTCTTGCAGACTCGATGAAAAACTTATGATTGCGTCGACTACAAGAAAGGACATCGTGATAGTCAGCACGGGTTTTCACCTCTACCCGTCAGAAGAATGCACGGTGTTCTTCGACTGATCGTTATTAAGAAGATCATGCTTGGAAAATCTGTTTTGTAACTCAGACATTAGAGCAAGATTTTCTTGATGCAAGAGAGAAGCCTTTTTCCTCAACTTCTCATTCTCTTCTATTATACTGATATTCTCCATGTACAGCTTCAAATTCTTAAGCTCCATAACCTTGCCAATCTTCTCTTTGCATTGCTTTCTTCTGCAAACATATTCATGCATTTATATATAGGATCGAAAAGAAGTGTTCTCGAATGAAAAAGGAATGTCTGTCTTGTACACGAGCTTTGTTAGTTTACCTTGCAAGGTTGTGTACACGAACCCTAGATCGCTTCGGTCGTCTTTGTGAAGGAACTTGAAGATTGTGTGGTAGAATCCATTCTGTGGGATTAATACACATTCTTGATTTTATTTATTTATTTTTGGAGAGTTGGGGGTGTGGGGGTATTTTACAATGAAACAAGAATATTTTTAGTGTGAATTGCTCTGTGTGATATGTTTGAATGGAAAATGAGATGAGTTTTTTGTGGTGTGGTGAGATCCTTTATATAGGAGGCTTTGTTGGTTTAAGCCCCATTTGATCCCCATTAAATTCAATTACATTACATTCTATTTTTCTCTCTCCTATTTTCAACCACACAATCTTTCATATAATAATGTTACACGTAAATCGAAAACTTTTCTTCTTTTTCAATCGCTCATTTTTCTAAAAAATACTATTCTCTCTATTTTCATTTTCAGGTAACGAGAGTCGAACGAGGGCTAAATTATGTCAGGTGTATACCATGTGGTGGCCTGGTGAGGCGTGGGGTTTGGGTGAGGAATTAATTTCAAGATTGGTTATGATGACAAGAGAGAGACATGATTACTAAAAACAGAAACCCTATGTATTATGCATGATTAAAAAGCCTAAGAACAAGGAAAGGTCCTCCATCTGTGTCTTTCTTGCCTTCACACATAATTTGGCACTAGACAAGCAAGGTAAAATAAGTGCTTCTTTTAACTTATTTGTCTACACGTTAAAAAGAAAATAAATAAATAAAATGAGTTCACTAATTTATTTGGAGTTAACAAGAATTCGCATTCGTAATACATCTTTGTTGAGGTGGATTGTATAGTTGTAAAAAGTGTTAAAAAGGAACTAAAATTACATTCTTTAACAATTATATGCAATCAAAATCTGCTCATCAAACATGCACTTAACGTTTTCAAAATTTTCAATCAAAGTCAGGGAATTTTTTTATTTTTCATTTTTTAACTCAACAAACATATTGTTAATCAACGCTGCCCCCAAATAAAAAATGAGAGAAAAAAATGGAAATAAGTTCATACTTGAGCGAAGTCTTTTTAGAGCAATAGGATGGTGTTAGGTGTACAATTTAATTGACAACTTGGTTTACAGTCAATGAGTTGGCAGACATACACACCATACATTTCAAAAGCTGATTTTTTTTAATCAATAGTGTGGATCCTGACGCCTCGTTAGTTGTCAATTTGGTTGTACAATTAGAACAATTCTAGATAAATAATGTAATGAGAAAATATCTCCACATGGAAGATGGAACACCACACACCTATTACAATCAAGTATTTCCTCTATTTGAGGTTGTCCATTTCTAGTTTGGCGGTGTTGATGTGATATAATGGACTAATCGAGTTTAATTTGTCTTAAAAGTGCCTTTACTTTATAAATCACCTTAAAAGCTAACTTTTGAACCCTAGTTTCTTTTCATATATTGATCTATACACTTTTAATGTAAGGCATTATTTTCAATTTGCCCAAAAGCTATTGCTCATGAATGAGGTCCAATCCATCTATATTACCCACAATCAAGCTCGAGAATTCATCCTAAACCTACGCACTTTGAGCTCACTATGTTCTAAACATGCTCATAGTGTCTTGTGGTTGCTAAGAATCTACAACTTGTTTGAGAGAGATTAAAATCTGATTTTAATTTAAGTTAAAATTAAACAATCAATATTAACTATTTTTAATGGAATTTATAACTTTTCAATCATACATTTCAAAACTTCTATTACAATCTACTAAAAATTTTAATTTTAATCCCTACCAAACATACACCTAATTATATTAGATCTATGAAATAACTAAAAGCCCTTGTTTGAGCCCATTCTTTTGGAAAAATATATTTTTCAACAGTGTTTTGATATCATTTCAATCACACATCCTTCAATAAAATAATATTATACGTAAATTTAAATTTTTTCCTTATTTTTTAACCACACATTTTTCATCAATACACTATTTAAAAATTTATTCTTAAAAAAAAAAAAAATGGGGCTCAAACAAGGACAAAATGTTTCATTTAATGTTTCTGCCGTGGACAGGAATGGAATGCAAAAGTACTGTTGGACTGACGCTGCTGCTGTCCTTTTTGCTGTTTGTATAATTGAGTAGCATCTTTTTTGTATTCATCCATATTAATCAATTTTAGGAAAAATGAGTTAAGCGTTTATTTAATTTTGATTCTTTGAATTTTTTATTTTTTATTTTTTGGTGAATATATAGTTAAAAATTAGTAAATAATTATGTGAGACATGAAAAATATATTTTTTCTCTATTTTAAATGGGTGATTGAAAATGAGTGTGGAATAAAATTGATTTTCAAATAGTCAAAATTGATCTAAATATGTTAATAATTAGTATTGGTTACTGAGGGGTTGGGGACTCTGCATTGAATGCATCAGTACAATCCAGTTGTGTGATAAAAAGGAATTTACTAAGGGCTTATGATTTGCAGGGGCTTGTTTTATGAACTTGGTGGTGAGTGATTGCACGAAATTTTACGCTCTTGAAAGGGAAAAGGGACTCGTGTGTTAACGTGTTGATTTATTAAGATTTTTCTTGGTTGAAATGGATCGTAGTCATATTTTTTACTCAATATGTCATTCTTCTACGATAACTCAATCATTAAGTCGATTTGATCGAGTACAAAGTTGGATCAACTCAAATGTTCGGTTGAGTACAGCTTTGATCGTGAGCAAAGATTTTTTAGTTATGAGGCAAATACAAAGTAATTTTTAGAGTTACAAAAAAATTATTGACATCTATTATGCAGAATTAAGTGTTTCACCATGATATTATTATATCATAGAAAACACCATTGTGTAGGTTTCACTTAAATGCCAACATAAGTTTCAAATAAGACATTTATCGCAAAAGAAAGTTTTGTCATTAGAAAACTCTAAGCTTTGTAAAGGTTGGTAAGAGAACAATATTGGTTTCATAATCTTACAAGAAGACTAGGACACAAGCCAAAATTTCTATTGAATTCCTTTTTTTCAAGTTTGGCTTCATGGAAATTAGCTAATTCTAGCTGTTAATCACAATGTTCAGACAAGAGTGTCTATTTGAACACGTTACATTAACATGCAAAAACATCAAATAAATCAAATCTCTAATAACATATTTCTTGACATAACTTGACAATATTAAGAAAGTCCAAAATATCCATCACGTGAAATTTTAAATTTGAATTTATCTAATCTAACCTATGAACTATGCTTAGAGTTCATTTTTCCAATATAAAGGAGAGAAGTTTTTGAAATCAACGTTGTAGAGTAGGGTTATCTTTGTCGAGTTTGAGATAATTCAAACATTCAATCTAACGCTCATAACATCATGCATTACCTATAGTAAGCAATAGATAAGATTTCGACTTTTTAAAATCGCATTAATTATTATCTAGTTCAATATATCAAACAATCAATAAATTTAAAAATTCTCGGATATATACTTGACTAGTTGGCACCCCAACCACATAAGAATCAATTACATTTGTCAAGGTGAAAGTTAAATTACTTTTTAGGGAACTAATCAACCAATCGGATGCTTGCTGCTGAACTAATGGTGATTATACAAGTGACGGTAATTTAGCAAGGTATTGGATGCGATACTTTGAGATACTATTAAGTATCTCTAATGGTGGTGTAAAATTAGGTATAAATATGTATCTCTAAAATCACTTTTGCATCCTCATTTACATTCCGATGGATTTAAATTCAAATTCTTCTACAATGAAAAAGATCTAAATCCACTTTTTGTTTCTTGTAGATAAAAATAAAATAAAATAATTATGTATATTTACATTTTCTGTAGAAAAATACAATTTGCATTTTCCTTTACATCTCTTCATTTGAGAGTTTTTCGATCACTTTGGATATTTAAATTATTGTTTAGATCTATTTTATGCCATTATTGGTAAGTCTCTTAAAATATGCGTTTGATAATTGCTACTATACCATTGTAAATCAAATAATTGATAAATTTAATTGTATGTGTTTTTATTTTTAATTATTATAGTATTATTTAATTCGACGTACTAAACACATATTTCAAATTAAAAAGGATTTTTCTCTTTGACCATCTAGATTTTAGACTTTTGTGGTCTTTCGAAAATCAATTGTATGCATTTTAGCTTTCAAAAATTCCTCTTCTCATTATAATTGTTTTGAAATAAATTTACAGACTCAAATTGTATGTTGGCCCTCCAAAAATTAAGTCTATTTACACTTGATGGGATATGATTACCAAGAGGCAGCACGTATCTCATAGAAACAAAAATAATGATGAATATAATTTTTATAGAGAAAACAAAGGTAGGAAATTTGATGAGTTTGCTATGTTGGATGATATGCTGTTAGACACGTGGGATCATTTGCCATTGTAATTTTCTAAGAAACCTAATTTTTCTTTTCTTTTTTTAACTTTTTCCCAGAAACTTTAAATATAAAATTTTAAATCAACATTTCAACCAAAACTGTTGTAATGCACTCATAAATTTAATTTAGTTCGAATTTTTGTCATTAGACGTGGGGATAAATTGACTGAAAAAAATATTAAAAATTCAAATAATTGATTTTAAATTTAATATAAATAGTGCTAGCATGTCAGATATCATCTTGGTACAATTAAAACATGCAATATGTTGGTGTGAATGCAAACTGCATGTTGTAATTCGATTTTACACTGAGGAGTTAACATGGTATTAGTCTATTAGAGCATGTGTATACGAGAATAAGTCGAGTCTTTTTTTCTAGACATGTGCCAAGGGAGAGTACTTATCTCGAGCCTTAATCTATAGAAGAGTGTTAGCATTTCTCGTTCCTATGCAAACCTCTTTTTATAAGTCGATTTTAAAGTGAAGAATTATGCCCGTGAATTTGCACAATAAAACTTTAATCTAGAGTTTGTACTTTACTCAAAGATCACTACATCAACGTATCAACGTCAATGCGGTGTATGCAAATGTAGGTAGCTAATAATGCCAGTTTTGAAGAGTACTACAACCACTCAAATATTCACTTATTCCTTCTTTTACTACTCCAACTCTAATTTGCTATATAAAATTATTGTATTGCACTCATGAATTATAATTATGTGTAGATCTTTCAACAGATGTGACAATAAATTGTCGAGAAACAACAAAAAAGAATTCATATAATCGACTATAATTTTATGATGAATAAAATTTAATTTCAACTGAGTGTATGCTAATAATA